GATCCAGCCTGGTGCTGTGCACACGTCCACACGTCTGCGGCAGGCGTCACCCAGAGGCCAAGTTCAAAGTGAGTGAAATGGAATTAGGACGATGGAGAGAGGGGGAGGGGCCGTTCAGGGAGCCAAAGTGCACAAAGAAGATGGCGTCTGAGGTGAGCGTCGAGGTCACAAGATTGCGAGCCGTCGGTGGGAAAGAGCACTCAGGCTGAGACCAGAGCCGCTGACGGTTCTGAAGTGCGATGTGGCTTTGGGATGTTATTAGAAGGTCAAGTGGTCTGGGGTGGGGGTGGGAACTGAGGCTAAAGAGGCCGGAAAGGGGACTTGAGGCCCATCCATCGAGACCACGGAGTCCTCAACCCCAAGGAACTCAGCTCGCTGGGCAGGACATGGGCTCTTCAATGCTCCTGGGCGTTAGGAACACGTGGGGACCCCAGCCCAGGAAGTGGGGTTCAGCCAGTGGCCCAGGAATCTGCATGACCATCGGAGGACTGCGCTTGAGGTGACCTGAGCGCCGCACCACTGGCACAAAGCGGCTGGGAGAGAAGAGAGCTGTGGGCAGGCACGCCAACTGTTTTGCAGAAGGAAGCGACACAACCCAGCTGGAATCCGAGAAAGGCCATTTGGCTGAATTCAGGCTGGACTGAAGGAAAGAGGACGGGGCACAGCTCGGTGGGGTGGGCAGCTTGGGACTCGCAGAGGAGGCAGGACCCTCAGGGATGCCAGCAGCAGGCGGGGCAGTGGCACCACCAGAGACAGGAAGCAGTGCCAGCAGGGTGAGGGTTAGTGTGACAAGTGGGGAGTCCGGCTCTTGAACCTGGGCTTGCAATGCCAGGTGGTTATTGGGGGATTGGCCTGTAGAAAGTCGTTGGAAGTTCGTGTGCAGAGCAGGCCAGGGAGGTGCGCTGGGCCTAGGTGTGTGGCCGCGGGATGCCCAGCACACACAAGCACAGAGCCCTGCTGGCCTGACTTGAACGTGTCGGTGTTGTGGTGACGGCAGGCTTCTCTGTTTTCCTGCCTCAACCTTGTCAGGTCAGGGCCAGCGGGAGGTCAGGAGGAACTAGGTTTCCTCTGACTCTGGATGCTGGTCACTTCCCTCCCTTCCAGCCCAGCTTTGGAGTCACCCTGGGTGGGCACAGCCAAGGCGCCTTCCTCTCGAGGTCTGCGAACCTGGCGAGGCAGCAGAGCGGGCGCTAGGACTCCATTGTGCAGACGGGCACGTGGAGGTTGAGGGGTTGGTAGAGCTGGCCAGTGTCCATTGAACAAGCTGGGGAGTGAAGGCAGCTTGGGTCACACGGCTCGGCAGGGAAGGAGACAACGTGAGGGAGGTGGAGGAGAATGTGTGACCGGTTACGACCCCCCCGCCCCCCCGTGTGGAAGGCTCCCCGCCTCCTACCTTCCTCAGGTCTCCACTCAATGGCTGCCCCGCAGGAAGGCCCGTGCGCCCTGGCACTCACCCTGCGTATAGACCTGCCTTTGCTTGCGTGGACCCCTCACTCACCCTGTTCTACTCCCGGCCCTTGTAGGCTCGGCTGCGCCTTGTCTCTGCTCACCTGACTGCAATCACCACAACTGGGTCTCTGGCCACCTGACGTCTCCACAGGTAGACGCTCCGTAAGTGGTTCTCAATAAACAAGTGTGCTCTTCAAAGAGAAAGCCAATCCGCCTCCATTTACGCGGGCACACGAGCCAGTGCCCTGTGGCTGCAGCGAGGGCGTCTTCTGGACAACAGGTGGACGTTCTCTTTCCAAGGTGTTCATCTCGGCGTCGGGTACCATAAAGTTGAGAATAACTTAAACACCCACCTGTGGGGGAAGAACTAAGCACATGCTGGCACATCTGCTTAATTGGAAAAATATATTTATGAAAATTTTGTCTTACTTTGGGGAAATGCTTATGATGTGAGGTTAAGGGAAGCCAGCAGATGCGAAATTGCATGCATGATATGATCTTAACTCTGAGAAAAATGTACAAGAGTTAGGGAAATCCCCAATATGTTACCACACAGAATTTATTATATAAATTGTCCTTTTCCCCATTTTTTTCTTAAAGTTTACGCTGTTTTGGGATGAGCGTATGTTGGGATCAAAGCCATGGAGGTGCTTTCTAACGAGCAGGAGGCACACATAAGACTGATTCATCATTTCGCGTTACGTCAAACCTGGGACCTGCTGACCGTCCCACTCAACTCCTCCTGGGCCTGTCCCCCACTTTCTTCTCCAGTTGTGAACTGTCTTCCTTAAGCACGTCTTTGATCCCACTTACTCCCCTTTTCACACTAGCGTCTTTTTGGATCGCTTGAAATCTGGCTTTGGTTGTAGCTTTTGGCAGGAGAACAGAAATTCAAAGGTAGCATCCTGGGTGTGGGGGAATACAGACAGACTGGAGCATGGTTCCTGCTCTTGATACATCTTCAGTTGAGCGACTGTGGTCTTCTGGTCTTCACCGTGGAGAAGTTCGCTTTTTACCAAAACCACCTGTGACATCTTCCTGGCAAACTCCAGTGGCCTCATCCCTTTTCTGGTCTCTAAGGCTCCCGGTGCCTGCACTGAGGTGGCCACTGCCATCCAGCGGCCGGGACACCCCTCTTAGCGAAGCCTTCAGGGCTGTTCCACACCCACTGTCAGGGCGTTTATGACCCACTGGATAGCTAACAAGCCTTCCGTCTTTCTCAGAATCTCTGTGCCCCTGCTGCTGTTGAATCTACCCCAGTTATCTGAACAAATACGTGAAAGATCCTTATCTGGGACACAGTGACCTCTGCTGCCCTCTTCGGCCTCCCCCAAACCCCATCGCTGCCTCTCAGCTCCGCTGTTCCCTCCGCCCTGACGACTCAACCGCTTTCCTTGGCTGCAGCGCCTCCCTCCATCCCAGCCCGATCCAACCACAGCTTCCCCTTTCTGGACAGGCTCTCTCTGATCCTCACACTTCTAATGGGCTTTCCCGAGGTTAGAGCTCAGATGAAATATGTACAGGGTCTATGCTCATTTTTCTTTCTAGAGCTGGGAACCAGGAGCTCAATCCACGTCTCCCACGTGGGTGACAGGGACCCACCCACTTGAACCGTCGTCTGCTCTTCCCAGGATGTGCACTGGCAGGAGGTGGAGTCAGGAGCTGAAGTGGAATCGAGCCCAGGTGGGCTGCAGGTACCTTAACCAGCATCTAAATGCTCACTTCTGTGGTCATTTAAAAAATACATATTTCTCAGTCAAATACATTTTTTTTCTTATTTGATTAATATCTAAAGACAGGAGAACATGATTATCCTAGCTACATACTTTGATTAGATAATCTTTCTTGTTTATTTATTTTAATTGACAAATAAAAATTGTATCTATTTATGGTGTACGACTTGATGTTTGATATCTAGGATACTTTTAAAAGCGCATGAAAAGTGGGGCCAGTGCTGTGGCGTAGTGGGTAAAGCTACTGCCTGCAGTGCCGGCATCCCATATGGGCGCCAGTTTGAAAGCTGGCTCTCTGCTATGGCCTGGGAGAGCAGTAGAAGATGGCCCAAGTCCTTGGGCCCTTGCACTCATGTGGAAGACCTTGAAGAAGCTCCTGGCTCCTGGCTCCTGGCTCCTGGCTCCAGCTGTTGCGGCCAACTGGGGAGTGAACCAGCAGTTGGAAGACCTTTCTCTCTCTCTGCCTCTCCTCTCTCAGTGTAACTCTGACTTTCAAATAAATAAATCTTTAAACAAAAAGAAAAGAAAAATGGAATTAACAGATAAGTCTATTTCGGTGTAAAAATTTGAAATCAATGTATAGTTTTTCATAATACAGATGTCCATAATTTTTTTGAAGTATCCTTGTATGTATATTTGGAGTGGCTAAAACAAGCTATGTGTCCACTCATAGAGTTTTATTTTCACAGTGAGAACACCTAAAATCCACCTTTCACCAATTTTCAAGCAGTCAATGCATCTTATTAACTAGAGTGACCAGGCAAAATAGATCTCTCGAACTTATTTCAGCTGTTTAACTGGTATTTCATATCCTTTGACCTGCATCACCCCCATCCTTCCCCTTCCCCTCAGTGTCCACCCAGCCCCAGGTACCATGCGACATTTAGGAAGTGGTGGTTTGTACCATCCTGACTGCCCACTGTCTTTGGCCGGATCCGACTGCTGTTTCCCTCTGCTGCAATCTGTGTGTGCATTTCACAGGGCTCGCCACACGATGCTCCTTTCCTGCCAGGGTTCAGAGCATTGCTTTACCCCCATCCCCATCATTTTGCCTTATAGGAGAGCAAACCGCTGGAATTGTTTGCATTTTTAAAAGATTTATTTATTTATTTGAAAGGCAGAGTTGCAGAGAGAGAGGAGAGAGGAGACAGAGAGAGAGAGAGAAAGAGAAGGTCTTCCTCCACTGGTTCACTCCCCAAGTGGCCGCAACGGCTGGAGCTGGGCTGAGCTGAAGCCAGGAGCCAGGAGCTTCTTCCTACAGGTCTCCCACATGGGTGCAGGGGCCCAAGCACTTGAGCCATCTTCCACTGCTTTCCCAGGCCATAGCAGAGAGCTGGATTGGAAGTGGAGCAGCTGGGACTTGAACCAGCACCATATGGGATGCCAGCACTGCAGGTGGTTACCTGCTATGCCACAGCGCCAGCCCCTGGAATTGTTTTTAAATAATTCCTCTGACAGGTCCCGGGTCCTTCTGTGTCGCTGAGACACTGGACAGAGCTACTTGCTCGCTTGCAGAGTGTCTCCCAGTGGGGTTAGTCTGTGATTGTGTTGGGGGTTAGTCTGTGATTGTGTTGGGGTTAATGCATCGTGGGTGGGGGTCCCGCGAGGAAATGTGGTCCCAACAGGTCCTACAAGTGGCTGTTTCTGACAAGGTGCTCAGATCAGGTGCTGTCTGTAGGGTTTTCCTACTTAACAGTGGTCACTTGTCTCTTTCTAATTGGTCCATCTCTTGGGGGAGATAAGCTGAGGCCATAAAAATGCCATTTTCCCCTCGGCGCTTTGCCCCGTGATTTCAGTACCATCAGCCGGTCTTGCTTTTGCAGTTGCTGCGTCATTCGTGACAGCTTGTTTTCCCTATTCCTTCCTCATTCGTGAACCTGAATTCTACAGAAAGAAACCGTTCCTCCTCTGCCCTTCAATTACGTGTTTACGTGAGTACGGACTCCTGGGTGTCTGTTTCACTTGGGATTGGAGTCCAGTCTTCTCGTTGTTTATTTTGTCCGAGTTGTCCATCGGGAACCCCTGCTGGCTGGCTGTCCCGTTCCCTGCTTTCTATTTCAAGTCCTTCCGTATTTTCTGGCTCATGCGATGTCTCAGTCCAGTTGGTATTTTCCCTGCTCAAGCCTTGGAACCAACCACTCCTCCGTGAAGCCCATCCTCACCTCTCTGAATTTGTTTCTCAGGCAGCACTGTGGTCCAGCCCCCACCGTCTGCCAGAGGCGCCAGTCCCCAGATGGCAGACAGCTTGCTCGTGAGGTCATGGCTCCTGACAGCGTCGGAGCTCACCGGTGTTCCCGGCAGGACGAGCAGCGCGTGCCTTGCGGTGCCCCCTCGGCGGCTCTTTCCCACGTAGCAAGAAGAGTTCTGGTGTGTGGCCAGGCAAGGAGCCGGTGGCTCTGCAGCAATTCCGGCTTCTGCCAGCCCGGGGAGCCTGAAACCAGGAATCAAACCTCTGTCCTCATTTTTCTAAAAATAGTTCTTCAGGAAGCAGGATCCAGAGGAGCACAGTGACTCCAAGAGCTGAGGCACCGGGAGAACCAGGAGCCAGGGCACGGTCACAGGGCATCGCATCAGCTGGCTCCTCGCTGCCTGGCACTTGACATGCAGCACTGGCATGAAGTCTCGAGACGTCTTTGGCAGGTGCACGGCAAATTTACAGACAGCTGAGGGCCAGGGATTGAACTGCTCACGAGGGCATTAGGGGACTGCTGACTCTGAACCACAGTGTGAGAGGCCTTAGGGCTCCTGCTAAAAATGCGTCACTCAAAGCATCTAGAAGCAAGTATGAAAAAGTGAGAAGCGTGCATTGTCGTTCTGATCACAGGTAAAACACCCAAACCAATTGCGCTTCTGAGAAACATAGCCCCAGTGCTGCCAGGTTCTCCGACTGTGAGACATGAAAACGAGGGGCTTCACAAAGATTCATCAGCTCAGGTGCCATCAGGTGTCGCAAATAGTCCGTGAACTTTACAAGGAAGAGGCAGTGGCTTCGGGAGCTTGGAAGGCGGCCCAGTCAGTCCCGCTCCCTGATTCGCTCTGAGAGACGAGAACTAGGAAGCCAGTGAGTCTCGTCCTCACCTTTAGGAGTCAGTTGTGAAAACTGCAGAGCTTAGAGACGGAGCTCGCTGAGTTCCAGCTCCAGCCCGGCCCACTGCGAGGTGCACCTCCTCAGCCCAGCATTTGCCTCTCTGGCTCCGTCTCTCATCTGTAGAAGAACAAGAACACAGCCTCACTCAGCTCTCCTTAAGTCAGCACCTGCTACGTGCCACGTTATGGGCCAGGCCCCAGAGGGATATGGTGGATCCTCTTCTCTCCCTGGGTTTGCAATTTTTGAACTTTTATTCTGTGAATGGGAACCCTCAATAAGGGCTGTGGCTGTGGCATAGGAGGCTACGCCTCTGTCTGTGGTGCCGGCATCCCATATGGGTACTGGTCTGAGTCTCAGCTGCTCCTCTTCTGGTCCAGCTCTCTGCTATGGCTTGGAAAGCAGGGGAGGATGGCCTAAATGCCTGGGCCCTACACCTGTGTTGGAGACCAGGAAGAAGCCCGTGGCTCCTGGCTTCGGATCAGCCCAGCTCTAGCCGTTGTGGTCATTTAGGGAGTGAACCAGCGGATGGAAGACCTCTCTGTCTCTCCCTCCCTCTGTCTATAACTATCTCTCAAATAAATACATAAATGTAAAAAAAAACCTCAAATACATAATTTCTGTCTGGGCTGCACATCCCACCGTGGACGTTCTTTCAGGTGGTGGTGGTGGTGGCCTCCTCATGGGCCCGCATCTTTTTTTTCTTTTCTTTTTTGAGCATGTTCCGCTCTTGTTTCCACAGAGCAGAGGAAGACAGAGTCGAAGGGGCAGTCCCAGCAGGAGAAGCGCCGTGCCTGAGAGACTGGCTGGAGCCCAGATGTGTGGAGGAGAGGGGGCAGGCCAGTGGGGTCGGGCTGGGAAGGGCAGGGGTGGGCACGGTGCCTTTGAGGACCCGGAAGAAGGAAGCAGGCTGTGCCCTGGTGCGGCGGGCCACTGAGGGAGGCTCAGCGGGGCAGATGCTGCGAGGGGCCGGGAGCCAGCGGGGGAGCTCAGGCACGGTTTAGGGGAACTGGAGCCGTGAAGGGCGATCAACAGGCGTGATCCTGGGTGCAGTGAGATAGCACCTCCTGCAGTGCGGGCCACATGGGAGGTCGCGGTGAGGGGTCCTGCCGTGCTGTTACTGCTCTGGCGCTGCTTCTGCTGGCGTGTCTACTGCTGCTGCTGCTGCGGCTGCCACTGCTGTTGCCTCTGCTACCCAACTACTGCTGTGACCGCACTGCTGCCTGTGCCACTAGTGCTGCTACGGCTCCTGCAGCTCGTGTGGGGCTGTGCTGTGGCGCAGCAGGTTAACCCACTGCTTGTGCACCAGTTTCCTGCATCGGAGTGCCAGTTCGAATCCCAGCTACCTTGCATCTGATCCAGCTTCCCTCTGACTCACCTGGGAAGGCAGCAGAAGATGACTGGAGTGCTTGGGCTCCTGCCACCTGTGTGGGAGACTAGGTTGGGGTTCCTGGCTCCTGGCTTTGGCCTGGCCCAACCTTGGTTGTTGCAACCACTTGGCGAATGATCCAGTGGATAGCAGATCTCTCTTTCTGCATCTCTCCCTTGTTCTCTGTTGCTTTGCTTTTCAAATAACTAAACAAATCTTTAAAACAGTAAGACTGGGGCTGGCACTGTGGCTCAGTAGGTTAATCCTCCGCCTGTGGCACCAGCATCCCCTATAGGCCCCGCTTCTAGTCCTGGCTACTCCTCTTCTGATCCAGCTCTCTGCTGTGGCCTGGGAAAGCAGTAGAAGATGGCCCAAGTCCTTGGGCCCCTGCACCCATGTGGGAGACCCGGAGAAAGCTCCTGGCTCCTGGCTTCGGATCGGCGCAGCTCCAACCATTGCAGCCAATTAGGGAGTGAACCAGTGGATGGAACACCTATCTCTCTGTCTCTCCCTCTCACTGTCTGTAACTCTATCACTCAAATAAATAAATAAAATCTTTGAAAAGAAAACAGTAAGACTAGCGTTCCTACTACTGCCTTTATATCCTTACAATTAACCCTTCTCAGGAAGCGTTAAGGTTTTGTTAGTGAGCTCTGGTACATCTGAAGACCCCAAGCTGGACCCCAGCCACTCTGTCCCCTCTGTTGGCTCTTGGGGAAGTCACCCCGACTCAGCAGGTGCTGTGGGGAGTGGGGAGGCTGTTGGAGGCCCTCACAGCTGGTAGGAAGCCCTGGTTGGGAGCAAGCAGGCTCCGGCTGCAGCTGCAGGCGGCCAGCACCCATGGGTGTTATTTCCTGCTCCCATGGCTGTGCACAATTCATGAAAAGCTGATTTCCACCCAAAGGTTTGTTTGTTCCATGGCAGGTCCCGGATACCCACCTGGTGCCAAGCACTGCTGTGGGTGCAACAGGATAAGACATCTCCGAGCCCTCTCACTGCTCATGTCGTCAGCAGAGTACCAGAGAAGGCGCCGCGGGAAGCTATCAGAGCACCTGTGTCTACCTGTTAGAACCTGCAGTGTTGGGAGGTAAGCTGGAGTACTCCCCAGTGGCCCACGTGGGCATCTGTGGGCGGCCTTGCGGCTACCACAGTACATTGTGGGACTGGTGGGTTCCTGCTTTAAGCAGATAAACTGTGAATGAAAGATAATGTTATCAAAGGGATAGTACAATCAGCCCCTCCGGAGAGCCAGCCATCTGGTCAACCACCACACACAGCACTCACCAGCCCTGGCCTATGAAACACAGCTTCCGTCCTCAGATGTACATTGCCCTGGGTCCACCTTATCTCTGGGCTGGGAGGAGGGAGCTGGAAGCCATCCACCTGCATGGGAAGGCATCAGGTAGAAGCATGAACACAGGCTCAGCATCGCCCAGACACACCCACAGAAGGAAGGTCCACTCAGCTACAGTCATGCAGGCCTCGTGCTGGAGCCGGGCAGCTGAGATGAGCAAGCTGCCATCCTTGACTTCCCAGATCTCTCTCACACACAGAGAAGGATTCACACCGGCCGGCATTGTGGCGATCCTGGTGAAGCCTCCACCTGTGAAGCCACCATCCCATATGGGTGCCACTTCATGTCCCAGCTGCTCCACTTCCTGTCCAGCTCCCTGCTAATGCAAATGGGAAAACACTGGAGGTGGCCCAAGTGCTTAGGCCCCTGCACCCAGGTGGGAGACTCGGTTGAGGCTCCTGGCTTCGTCTTGGCCCAGACCCAGTTGTTGTGGCCGTCTGGGGAGTGAGTCAGCAGATGGAAGATCTGTCTCTCCCTGTATCTCTAAAATGCTGTATCTCAAATAAATAGATAAGTCTTCTTCTTCTTCTTTTTATTTGACAGATAGAGTTAGACAGTGAGAGAGAGAGAGACAGAGAGAAAGGTCTTTCTTCCGTTGGTTTACCCCCCAAATGGCCGCTATTGCCGGCGCTGCGCCAATCTGAAGCCAGGAGCCAGGTGCTTCCTCCTGGTCTCCCATGGGGTGCAGGGCCCAAGCACTTGGGCCATCCTCCACTGCCCTCCCAGGCCACAGCAGAGAGCTGGACTGGAAGAGAAGCAACTGGGACCAGAACCTAGTGCCCATATGGGATGCTGGCGCCACAGGCGGAGGATTAACCAAGTGAACCACGGCACCGGCCCCCTCCTTTTTTTTTTTAGAAAAGGACATTTGCAATGTGAGTGATGGTATTCAGGAGGGCCCCAGGGGCTTCTGCAGGGGTGGAGTTGCTGGGAGCAAGAGAGGGTGGGTCTGGGGGTGCAGGGAGGGGGTTTGGGGAGGAGGAGCTCAGCAGGTGTCCCATGAGAGATGAGCAGGCCACCGGAGAGGTCATTGTGTGCGCAGCGTGTGAGGGACAGCAGAAAGCACTGGGAGAAGGCTGGAGCCCTGGACACTGGTGGGGGAGGCACCAGCACCCACCCACGACAGCTGTTGCCACGGCCACACAGCCTGAGAGTGGCGACAAAGGCCGGATGACCCTGCCAGCCAGTCGCCCACAGAACTTGCGGTTTGCACGTGGACGCCACAAGGATGCAGGCAACGGGCGGTGCCACACTCGGTGCTGTGGAGCCTGGACAGCCCTCTTTACCCTCGCTCCCAGCCCAGGCCCTGCCTTGCCCTCTCTGGGAGGTCACCATGAGGGCGACTGGGGCCATAATCCTTCCATTTCTGATCCCTGCAGGTGCGTCCCTGGACTCCAGGTGGGTTATTGTCGTTGTTGCTTGTTGCAGGAAGGTTATTGAAATCACAATCCAATATACAGAAATTGCAGATGTAGTCATTTAAGTTTGAAAAGCAAACATGAAAATGAAAGCAAACATGACAAACTACTAAATTTCCAGTTCCCAGCGTGGGAAGCTGGTTGTTGGCAATATTGTACTTTGCATATTTCACCTTTCTTTGTCCTTTACTTTTTTTTAAAGATTTATTTATTTGAAAGGTAGAGTTGGAGATGTGGGGAGCAACCAGGACTAGACTGAGTTACTGGAATTAAGACTTATTCTATGCATCTGCTCTCCCACAATATGGCGCTGGGAGAGGAGAAAACAGCTTCTACGCAGCTGCCTCCAGTTCAACCAATAAACTGTAGGACCTACTCCTGATTGGAGGAGAGCAGCGTACTCGGCGTGTGGGCAGCCGAGTTAGGATTGGCGGAGGAGGACTATAAAGGAGGAGAGAGACGGCATTCACCAGGAACATCTAAGGGGAACATCTGAGGGAACACCTGTGCAGCCCCCGAGAGAGCCGGCCGGCAGTGTGCCGCTCCCCTGCGGAAGTGGGGAATGTGGCCAGGGGGAACTGCCCTTCCACGGAGGTGGAAGGGATAGTAGCCAACCCGGGAAGAACCAGCAGCAAACCCGGGGAGGGCCGAGCAGACGAAAGAACAGCGCAGGGTCCTGTGTCGTTCCTCCACGAAGACGGGGAGCGACAGGAGAGGAAGACACACACACACACACACAGAGGGAGAGGGAGAGAGTAGAGGAAGGCCACAGTCCCCTGCTCTGCTCTGTGTATGGAGCGCAACCTGAGCTCGTGTTTCTGAAGGCTGTGGAACTGACGGATCTTTCACCCGCACTGGCTCTAAGGTGCTCTAAGGGGGCAATCGCTCGCCTTGCCAAGGAAGGTGGTGCCGGCGCCCCGGGAGCCCACGCAGCGCCCTCCCTGTGTCTTCACTCCTTCTGTCCTCCAGGGACTGCTGACGTGTCCTGCAGGGCCTGGTGCCTGCATGGCGCGGGGCAGCCTTCAGTTAACACTTGGTGTGGAGGCAAACGCTACTGAGAGTGGCTTCCGCCTCAGTGTCTGCAGAAAGAGAAGATCCAAGGTACTTCAAAAAGTCCGTGGACAGATGCAATTACACGGTGTTTATTTTTGTGCAAAAAATCTGAACTCCACAAGTCGCTTTTCTTTAAGATTTTTTAAAAATTCATTTGAAAGGCAGAGTTAGAGAGAAAAAAGAGGGAGATACGGAGAGAGGGATCTTCCGTGTGCTGGTTCACTCTCCAAATGGCTGCAATAGCCAGAGTTGGACCAGGTGGAGGCCAGGAGCCAGGAGCTTCATCCGGTTCTCCCCTTGAGAGGCAGGAGCCCATGTACTGCCTTCCTCTGCTGCTTTCCCAGGCCACAGCAGAGAGCTGGATTGGAAGAGGAGCAGCTGGGACTACAACCGGCGCCCAAATGGGATGCCGGCGCATCAGACCAGGGCTTTAACCTACTGCGCCACAGCACCGGCGCCCCACAATCTTTCTTTCTTTTTTCTTTTTTTTGAAAGGAAGAGTGGACAGTTGAGAGAGAGAGAGACAGAGAGAAATGGCCACTGTGGCCAGTGCACTGCTGCTGGTGCACCGTGCTGATCCGAAGCAGTGCTTCTCCTGGTCTCCCATGCGGGTGCAGGGCCCAAGCACCTGGGCCATCCTCCACTGCCCTCCCAGGCCACAGCAGAGAGCTGGACTGGAAGAGGGGCAACCAGGACAGAATCAGGCACCCCGACCAGAACTAGAACCTGGTGTGCCGGCGCCGCAGGTGGAGGATTAGCCTAGTGAGCTGTGGCGACGGCCCACAATCTTTCTTAAGACTCCTCGTGTATGTCTTATAGATCCCGGCTGTGAATCAGTGTGGCCATGGAAGTGATGATGTGGGCTGAACCCTGTGGACGGGAAACGTCAGTGTGGCAGTGGGGAGCAAGCCCAGCCTGGTAAGACAGAACAGTGCACCTGGCTAGGCAGGCGTCTGCAGGCCAGTCAGCAGGGAGCAGAGGGCGGGCCTCATCCCTGCTGTGGAAGGGGGCGGGGACAAGTTTTGCTTCCTTCTCTCTATTCCATATACATACAGATCATTCCAGCAGTGAGCGCTTAGCATTTGTGTTTGCAGGGAAAAGAGTGCTAATTTTATTCAAGGAGACAAGAGTGGAGGAGGGAGGGCTGGGGAGCGGTCAGGCTTGTGGCCTGACTCGGGCCTGTGCTGGCCTGGCAGGTCCCAGGCTCACTGCTCCCTGTGGGAAGGGAAACTGATGCGCAGAGCTACCCGCCGTTTAAGGGCAACGCCTCCTGTGTGCTGCTGCTGTCTCTGGTGTTTGGGTTCAGAGAAAACTTGGGACACATCCAGGCTCCCTGGCTTAGCAGCTGTGTGCCTCTGAGCAATTCTGTAAACTTTCTGAACGGGCGCCTCCCCCACCGTGATGTAGACGTACTCCCGGTCTGGCAGACAGAGCGGGCACAGGGGCCTGCCGGCGTTCTGAGGAAGGCATGGGTGCTGTGTGTGTTGTTTCTGTATACACAGCACAGTGTGTCTGTGTGCTGTGTGTGCACATGAGTCTGTGTGGGTTCTATGTATATACACTGTATGTGTGTGCTGTGTGTACACAGTGAGTCTGTGTGCTGTGTGTGCACAGTGTGTCTGTGTGGGTTCTATGTATATACACTGTGTGTGTGCTGTGTGTACACAGTGTGTCTGTGTGCTGTGTGTGCACAGTGAGTCTGTGTGGGTTCTGTGTATATACACTGTGTGTGTGCTGTGTGTACACAGTGTGTCTGTGTGCTGTGTGTACACAGTGTGTCTGTGTGCTGTGTGTGCACAGTGAGTCTGTGTGGGTTCTATGTATATACACTGTGTGTGTGCTGTGTGTACACAGTGAGTCTGTGTGCTGTGTGTGCACACACTGTGTGTGTGCTGTGTGTACACAGTGTGTCTGTGTGCTGTGTGTGCACAGTGAGTCTGTGTGGGTTCTATGTATATACACTGTGTGTGTGCTGTGTGTACACAGTGTGTGTGTTCTGTGTGTACACAGTGTGCCTGTGTGTCATTTCTGTATACACAGTACAGTGTGTCTGTGTGTATTATATGTACATATACAGCGTTTATCTGTGTGTCTCTGTGTATTATATCTATATACACAATGTTTCTCTGTTCTATGTGTATACACAGCGTGTGTGTGTGTTCCATGTATATACAGTGTGTTGTGTCTTCTATGTATACACACAGTGTGTTCTGTATATATAGTGTGTCTGTGTGTGTTCTACTTGTATACACTGTATGTGTGTTCCACGTATACACAGTGTCTGTGTATGTTCTGTATATACACAGTATGTCTGTGTGTGTTCTAAGTATATACACTGTATGTGTGTTCTGTGTTTACACAGTGTGTCTGTGTGCCGTGTGTACAGAGTGAGTCTGTGTGGGTTCTATGTATATAAATTGTGTGTGCTGTGTGTACACAGTGTGTCTGTGTGTGTTCTGTGTATATACACAGTGTGTCTGTGTGTGTTCTGTGTGTACACAGTGTGTGTGGGCTATATGTACATATACAGTGTTTGTGTGTCTCTTTGTATTGTATCTATATACACAGTGTTTCTCTGTTCTATGTGTATACACAGTGTCTGTGTGTGTTCTGTGTATACACAGTATGTCTGTGCATTCTATGTATATACACTGTGTGTGTGTGTGTGTTCTGTGTGTACACAGTGTGTCTGTGTGTACACAGTGAGTCTGTGTGGGTTCTATGTATAACATTGTGTGTACTACGTGTGCACAGTGTGTCTGTGTGTGGTCCCTCAGGGTTCCTCCACCATGGATTTCTGATGCGCTATACTCTTGGTGTACCCAGGAAGGGCGGGAAGGGGCAGAAAGTGCCACAGAGCTGCCAGGGGTCCGTGCAGCCCTCTGCCCTTGCCCACCCCTCTTGTGCTTCACTGTGGTGCCCGCAGGGCTGCCGCAGAGCTGCCCAGTGGAGCAGAGGAGGGGTCAGAGCGAGGAGAAGCTGCCGGGACGGCGGACACAGCACTGTGTGTGTGTCAGATCCCAAAGGCCGCTCTGCCTAGTGCAGTGTGTCCACTGCCGTCACGGGGCCTCCCCGCAGGCCGCGAAGCTTCCCCGGACGCCGGGTGTGATTCCTCGCCTCCTGCAGCCCCTGGAGCTGGCAGCCAGGATTCCACATCTTGGCCTCTCAGCCGCCCAGAGGACACCAACCAAGCGGCCAATGGGGTCCTTGATCTCAGATAAAACGACATCGTTTGGTTGTGGCCGAGGTCTTACTCCTGGAGGGTTTGAGCCGTGCCAAGCACTGGGAGATAAGAGTGTCTTTGGTTTCGTTTTCTCAGATCTGTGTTCTTTAACCTCTGCTCCTCTGCACTGAGCTCGCTTCCTCCACACAGAGAATAACAGTAGATCATACCGGCGGTTCTGGAGTTGAACTGGGAAAGTGCATGCAGAGGGCGTTGCCTTTGGGCCACAAAAATTATGGTGCAATTTGTTGCTTGTGAACTGAATGCCCTGCTCGTCGGACTGCCGGCTGCTCCCCAGCTTCCTGCGATCCTTGCCTCTCCCACCACCCCGCCTGCTATTTTTCTATTGCTAAATGTTGACAACCAGGTTGTGCTGAGATGGCACCGAGAGACCGGAGCTGCAGCCTCTTTCCGCTCCTCTTCTCTCACGCGGGACGTGCACACTACTGTGTCGTATTTTAGGATATTTCAGAATCAATTCAAATAGTAAACAAACCCACAAGGGGGCTGGCATTGTGGCGCAGCGGGTTAGTGCCCTGGCTTGAAGCGCCGGCATCCCATATGGGCTCTGGTTCAAGACCCAGCTGTTCCACTTCTGATCCAGCTCTCTGCTGTGGCCTGGGAAAGCAGTGGAAGATGGCCCAAGTCTTTGGGCCCCTGCACCCACATGGGAGACCTGGAGGAAGCTCCTGGCTCCTGGCTTCAGATCGGTGCAGCTCCAGTGGTTGCAGCCAACTGGGGAGTGAACCATCATATGGAGGACCTCTCTTTCTCTCTCTCTCTCTCTCTCTCTCTCTCTCTCTCTCTCTCTCTTTCTCTGCCTCTCCTCTCTCTGTGTAACTCTGACTTTCAAATAAATAAATAAATAAATAAATCTTTTTTTTTTTTATTTATTTTTTTTTATTTTTTTTTTATTTTTGACAGGCAGAGTGGACAGTGAGAGAGAGAGAGACAGTAAATAAATAAATCTTTTAAAAAACGCACAAGGAGTTCCTATTTTAAATATAAAGAACGAAGCAAGTTAAACATAAAATTAGGCAAACAGAATCCCAATTTGGTGGCACTTGATACACACCTAGGGGAGGTTTACCTCCTGCAGTACTTGGTCTGAAACCGTGGCAGTTCAGTAATGCAGACCTTCTTAACCTTGGCATTGCTGACATTGGGGCCAGGTGCCGGGACCATGCTGTGCACTGTGAGACATTAATAGCATCTCTGGTTTCTCTCTCTGAGATGCCAACAGCAGCCCCACTGACAACCAAAAATGTCTCCAGACAACACCACGTGTCCCTTGGGGGTGACACAGCGGGTCCCAGGCAGAACCACTGGGCTAACCCATTAGTGATCAATTCTTAGCTTCAGCTAAAAAAAAAATCTAGATTATTTCATAAAAATGAAAGAAACACTGGTACGTGTTGCGGCGTGCTTGACTCTTAAAGTCTGACACCAGCCCTGCTAATGCAGCTGGGACAGCAGTGGAGGATGCCCAAGTGCTCGGGCCCCTGCACCCACATGGGAGACCCGGAAGAAGCTCCTGGCTCCTGGCTTCGGATCGGTGCAGCTCCGGTGGTTGCGGCCAACTGGGGAGTGAACCAACGGATGGAAGACCTCTCTCTCTCTCTCTCTCTCTCTCTCTCTCTCTCTAACTCTGCCTTTCAGATAAATACAATGAGTCTTTAAAAAGAAGAAGAGAGAGAAGATGACAAGAGGAGGAGTAGGAAGCTCTACTGAATCGGCACCTCTTTCACTGGACTAAGAGTACAGACTTCTTTAAAAAAGAAAAAAACAAAAACAAGAACGACTGAGCAGGTGATGAGCCCCAGCCAGGAGAGACTGTGGATTCCACTAATCTGGGTGTCCGTCGGGGCAAATGCACGAGGCTGAAAGGGGACAAAGGTCGTCGGCGAGTGCAGTGCCAATGGGCAGGAGGGAGTGCACGGGGTGACGCAAACGTTTAGAAACCGGATGCTGGGGAGGCTGCAGGACGGCATAGATTTACGAAGACTCATGGCGCTGTACAGCCTGGACGGCCGAGGCTGATGGTGGGTGATTTCGCCTCTATGCAGCTGCGTTTAAAAACCACGAAAAAGTCTGGAGGGGCCGCTGTGCTGCAGAGAGAAGAATCAAACCAGGAGGTAAAAGTAATCCCAGAGTTCCCTCTAACTACAGAAAACAGTCTCCTGAAAAGACAGAGAGGTCGGGACCCCACGTCGTCTTGACCCCAATGACCGTTAGACAAGCCCACAATATTTGTGCTGGGCAGACAGCTGCAGCGTCTGTTAGCACCTGATGTAGCCCAACGGGCTGCCTAATCAGCTCTGCTGTGTATCTTTCTATGGAAAATAATGGGTATGCATGGCCACCCATGTTCAAAACGGCCAGGAAGACACCAGGGGCACCAGCCTGGCGTGTCTGGCGAGACAGTCTATGTTTTCTGCTAGAAAAGTAAGAGAATCCACAGGAACACTGTGCTAATGGGGTACGCAGAGTGTGACACAAAATACAAAGAGGAAAAGGTTTGAAACCACCCAGAATTTCCCGTTGCCCACTCAAACCTCTACCATCATCAAAATTTTTTTTTCTCTCCTCGTTGGTTTGCATTAAATGACAGCTGCTGTTGTTATTCAAAGAAATTCTGGGGACCTTCGGTGTGATGGGCCACCACACGCTCAGCTGCCGCCGGTTTCCTGTAAAACGTGTTGGCTCTTCTTGTAGACACCGCGTGACCTCCAGGGGGTTCATGAACTGTCTGGCGTGCTAGCCAGGGCTGTGGCCACCACTGCACGGGGCCTTTTCCTGGCCGTGCTGCAGACAGACACTAACCTGGCAGAAGGCACAGCCGTTGGTGAGGCCACACTTGATCCTTCCAGAACCTGCAGCCCGGTGGAGGGAAGCGCAGATGGTTAAACAGCAGTGTTTGAGCAAATCATCCTACGGCCGCAATCGGGCTAAAGAAAGGTGATGAGACAAACCCTCACCCAACCCTGCCCTTTAGCTGGAAACCGGACAACGAGAGATCCTCGCAGTAATTCTAACTTCCTCCAAACACCACACGCACACAAATTTCCTCTTTAATAACTCTGCGACCCCAGCTTCCCGTATGGGGCCGGTTCGAGTCCTGACTGCTCCACTTCTGACCCAGCTTCCTGCTAATGCACATGGGAAAGCAGTAGAAGTACTCAAGTACTTGAGCTCCCTGCGTTCTCGTAGGAGACCCGGATGGAGCTCCAGGCTCCTGGCTGGGTTGCTTGAGAAGTGCACCAAAGGATGGGAATGCCTGCCCCGTGTCTCAGACGAACCCTTAAAAATGCTGAGAAACGCTGTCCTTGTTTTAAAGCCTGGTAAGCTGGGGACTGCGGTGATCGCCGCATCTATGTGGGCAGGAAGGCGGCCAGGGAAACTGCAAGCCCAGAGTGCCTGGCTGCTCCGGAAAAAGCAGTGGAACTCACGAACACTTCTGACAAGGGAGGTCGGAGGCAGGTGGGGCGCCGACGTCCCTGATTAAATCCCCCAGTTTCCTAGAACATCCTGTTCGGCTTTTGCTAATCAATAGGCAG